TCAACCAAATACTTCCATGGCAGTATCCGAGATCGCTCATACCACTGAACCGCTCACCATCAATGAGAGGCAAATACATGGTGAATGCGGCTCCAAAGGAATACGGCTACGAAGTGTGGCTCTGTTCATGAACACCAGCAACGAAAGGCTAGGGATAGCCTTCTGTGAAAACAAGAACAGCAAATAATGGCTCACCATTTCACTGGGCCTAGCCTCCCTAACGAATGGCAGCACATCCAAGACAAGTATGCGGCGCAAAACATATGATGCGCTGCCAGAAATGCAACTGTTGGGTCGGAGCTGTCGACTATTGTGAACACGTAATAAAACAATTACAATGTTTTCCAGCGTCGACTCAATGACTTGTTTTAAACAAGCTTGCGGGGTGCTGTCAGAGATGAGTGGGCGGGGAGAAGTGAAGGGTATGAGTTCCAGAATAATTAGCGTGGACGGTGCCGTGGTGGCTTATAAGAAAGGGAAAACGGCAGATCTTATATCTGGACCAGACGGTGAAGTCTTTGGGGACTGGCATACTCAGAGGTTTCACTGGACAAAACTGGCGTCCCTGGTTGCGGAAAAACGACGTGGATAGTAGATCAATTTACAGTGGACAAAGATCTAATTGTCACCACAACAACTGAAGCAGCAAATGACCTCAGAGGCAAACTATCCTGCCGAATCGGAGGACTAGTCAAATCTAGGGTTCGAACAATGGAGTCCATCCTAGTAAACGGCTTGGGGGAGCGAGAGAGCTGCCATCTACTAATGGTAGATGAACCACTTTGGAGCCGTTGTGATGGCACGAATAACTCGAGCCAAGGAAGTCCTTCTAATTGGTGACATAAATCAGCTTCCGTTTATAGATCGTAATAACCTCTTCCCTCTGCTCTACAGACGCCCTACATATATCACACCTACACCTATAAGCCAGGAATTGATGTGTACCCACAGAAATCCAATGGATGTGGCGTATGCCCTCAGCACAGTTTACAATGGCATATACTTGTCAGGTCGTTCGTGAGATCCCTCGAAATAAAAAGGTTCTCGGGAGCGATGATTCCAAAATTAATCCCCGACACTTTATACCTGGTACACATTCAGGCAGAGAAGGAATCCCTTAAGATCCAGGGATACGGGTCGACCGTAAGATCACGCGTGCTTACAATACACGAGGCACGGGGACTTTCGTGTGCGAATGTGGTTGTTGTGAGCACAGCAACGAAGAAACATCAAATCGCGTACCGTAAAATGGGGTGAATAGGGATCCAGGGGTGAATAGGGAAAAAACCAGGCATCATTTTTAACACTAAATGCTAGTTTGCAAATCGTTCCAACTTTTACCATTTTTTTAAGGCTAATAGTAGATTATTTGAACTTTTCTATGGCAACATTGAACAAGTGTAAAATCAGTTGCAAACTGTTAAAAATGTCATTTGAAAATAGTATAAACAAGATACCGGTTATTACAGTGTATAAAACTTTGCTGTATAAAGGTTATTTTGTATTAAGCGAATACGAGTGTTGGTATTATACCTTATTTAGGGTTTGGGCCGTCATATGCACGAAAGGTAAGCATCAGTTATTAATTAATATGACTATAATTTAGATTTTTAGAATGGCATGCGAAATTTGTATTTTTTGGGGTGAATGGGGACGTCTCAGGTATGAATCACAACGAAAGCGGGGTTAATCGGGATGAGGATGGGATGAATAGGAACGACTTATGTATGAATAGGTACAGCTTTATAGGGTTGTCACTAAGCAGACTTAACATTTTTAAATTGTGTAATCTAGGTAATAATATTTTTTTTATTTCATAAATTAGCGAGGTATTACACTGCGTCGTTAATCTAGTGATTGCAAGTGCAACTGCTGACCATGAAGTCTCGGGATCGGTTCCCGAGTAGACCCAAGCTTTGTTGGAATTTTGATATATTTTACGGAGTCCGAAATTGTGTCCGGTAGTAGGCTTGTCCCCTATTTCTTGGGCTGACAAGGTTACTGACGAACACTGGCTGTCACATTTAATACGTACATTTTTTTTTGGGTCGGAAATTATTAAACGTCTCCTCCTGCTCTGGGCGAAGCCGAAAGTTTATTTTAGTGTTGATATATTGAGTAGAAATTTTTATACATATACAATATGTAATGCAAATTAATTTTTTCAGATATGCCTCGCGTGTACCTATACCTAAAAAAGTACAAAACCTTATAAGAGGTATGATCCCCTTATATTAAAAACTGCTGTAGAAACGTATAAAACTGGAAGTAAATCTCTAGTTGAAGTAGCTAAACAATTTATTATTGCTAAATCCGTTTTGCATGTGATCTACATGTGATGAGAACAATGAAGAGTCAAGGTGGACAAAGAGCACTAAGTGATGAAGCAGAAAAATACATAAATATTTGTTCTGAGTGAATAATAATTGTTAAATGTTAATTAATAATTTGCAAAAGGATTGTTGATTAAATAAATAATGGAAGTAAAAGTGGATTTTATTTCAGTGACTAAATAGCTATTAAATAATCAGAAACTAGTATTATGTAAGAATTACATAGTGGCAATAAGTAATAATGTAGAACAAATTAAAATACAAAAAAAAATGGTAGTTAGCTATAAATTATAATTTATTAGGTAGGTACCTACACAAGTGGCAGCCCTAGAGAATTTCCCTATTGGCCTTATTTTCGTCCCGATTGACCCCAATTTCTGGGTGAATAGGGATAGGCTATATTTTAGCTTTTTTATGCATAAACTGAAATGCTAATTGCATAATTTATGTTTGATCACAAAGATAGCATCACGACTCAATTATTACAATCGCCTTACAGCAAATTTTCTATAAAAAAACGCCTTAACTTTCTTTATGAAGTTCAGATTTGTCCCTATTCACCCCATTTTACGGTACCACACGCGGTAGACGAAGACGCGATAAGCAAACTAATCAGGAAGGCGGTTGATGAGAGTGAGCAAGGGATTAAGGACTACAACCTGAAAATGGCCATCAAACACAGGGACGCGGCGGTTGTGGTGCTCTTTTGGGCGGGGAATGTTGCTTGTGATGAAATGAAAGCAACATGAGACATGACATTTGATCACTGTCTGTTTCGTCTTTTAGTTTTGTAATGGTCGGCAAGCCGCATGTAGTGCCCCAAGTATTGCAAGCTTTCATAGACGACGATAACCACTTACCATCAGGTGGGTCGTGTGCTTTTTGTCATCGTCGTGGTATAAAAAAAATAGTTCTCTTTAGATATGGCTAAAAGTATATGATTTGCTTGTTGTTTTTTTAAGTCTAAAATTTTCATGCTTGGGTACTTCAAAATTCGAACTTCACACTGGGCATTTTGTACAGTTATCAGGTACGATTGTCCAAATAAAAAACCATATTCAGGTGTATGTAAACAAATTTATATTTTCTGATTTACATATATATATTTTACTACATCTGCTTATAAATTCCAATAAATTTATCAAATATATTGCTTTGCTAATTTCCATGAAAAAATACAAAAGTATACTACAATTGCGTTAAGAAAAATCGTCTAGAAAAAATTACATCTCTTATTAAACCTAGATGTTCATATTATGCGTTATTATAATATTTCGAATGAGTAATAAGTTCATAGCAAAAATTGTCGCTTATAAAACCGTAGGCAATGTTGCACTATTGCACTAGATAATATAAATCCATGCTGGTTCATACGATACGTCGTACATCACTAAATAAATACTCTCCGCTCTCTGCGCGTAGACCATAATACTTTAACGGGAATAACTAAACCTAACGTAACGACATAAACTCAATATTTGGCTTAGATTGTAATTACAACTACGATAAAGCACATGAAGTAATAATTTGGTCTAAGTTATGCATAATAATATATAATTAAATCGTTAAGTGCCCTTACACTAATTATTGCCTTAAACTAAATTATTTTATTCCAGTGGTCTCTACCTAATAAAGACATCCTAGGAACTCATGCCACGGTCAATACTATCATAGCATTAATATTATAATTGACTTAAATATTTCATTTACTGTAACAATTGCAATTAGAAAATAGTTAATTTCATGTAGTAACATTAGACAATGTGAGTATAAAAATGCAGTCAGTGCATGTATGTACGTTCGAGGATATTACAATGTATGGCATGAGCTACATTACAATACATAAGACAAGGGCGCCGCGACTCGGGCCGCGGGCGCTCACAATCACTGGACGTATCACAAAAGGCTTAACAATAAGTTTACACTACCAGTACCTAATCCAATGGAACGGTAAGACGTTACATCAACATTGAGCTAACTTACATTCAATATATTAATTATTCTTTAAGTAATATTGCTGTTAGTTTATGGTTAACTAAATATTTCGTACTCGTAATTATTGTATTCCTGAGAGTAGACGTAGTAAATGGCACGAGGTTTATTATGACAAGATACTTTGAGGATCGTTTTAATAAATACTTTCTTTGTGCCGAAATATTCCGAAATGAACATTGTAAAAGAGATCTTTTACATATTACCTTACAATATAAAACGCACCGTCTAATCTAGCCTCGCTAGACATAAAGCACAACACGAAAATAAATCCCTGAAATGCTTCAAATAAAACTCTGTTTTATTTAATTTTTCGATCACAATTATTATTTCTGCAGAAATACACATCTATTTATAAAAATATTTTCTTTAGAATGTTATAAAACAGCTCGTAAATTGACTTCAGTAGGCCGGCATCGCTAGGCCGTCACTAACTTTAACAAGACTACGATATAAATACAAAGCACGAGTGAGCAATATGTTACTTAAAATAGAGCTCTCAATAAATAAAGAGAAATAGAAATAACCGATCGTCTCACAGTACACCGAACGGCGGAAGAAAACAGGAAAGAGAATATTCGGCGCTGCCGATGTCCATAAGAGTCGAATAAATAAGTATTGCGTAGTCTTTAGAAGACGAACAATGTCCGAGGGCGGCGGGCGGCGGGCGGCGGCTCAGAGGCTGACGAGGCTGTTGTGCGCGTCGGGCGAGGCCGCGTCGGGCGCCGCGCGCTGCTGCTGGCCGCACGGGTGCGGGTGCGGGTGCACCGGCGTCAGCCCCGTGCCGCCCTCCATCAGGCTCTCGAAGTTGAACGGGATGCCGTTACTGGGCGTGCTGATCTCGATGCCCGCTATTTTGTTGTTGCCCAAAGCTTTGTTGTTATGTAACTGAAATAAAAAATATTTTATTAGTTTCTAAATCGTATTTCAATTACATATAAAGCATTGCAAAGCCTAATCATGACATGTATAATTGTATATTCGTGTTCTTGTATGACTTTTATTAGGATAAATTATTTATCTAGTCTTCAACCGGATGTTAAAGTTTTTACTTCAAAGTGAATGACGTGGTAGTTACCTGTGCGGGCGTAAGGCTAAGCGGCACCTGTAATGAGTTGGGTCGATTGGGGCGGGACAGCACGGGGGGAGTGTCCAATGTCGCTGGCGCAGCACTCGTCACCACGGCAGGGTTGGCCGCCGACAACATTATTCTGGAAAACGAAATTAAAAATATGTTGTAGTCACAGTTTCTGTACAGTAATCAAAAGAATTCAAGAATACAACTAGTTACTATACGAGCAAGAAGAAAGCACAGCACACTTACTTCTTGTCATTCGCCGGCGAAGTAAATATATTATCCAACACCAGGACGGGGTCTACAACAGGTTCTACAGCCTCTACTTTGACTCGGACACCGTCTTCAGGCATTTCTGGGTAGGAGTATTCTTGGAAGGGTTTGATGTCAGGGGGGCTCGTCGACCGCTTGCCGAGGGGACAAGATAGCATGTGAGTGTGCAGGATGGATTCCAACTGCTCCCGGTCATGATTTAGTTTGCGAATCTCCTCTTGTAGAGATTGTTTTTTCTCCTCGAGCTTGTCAGTCTCCTCCTGCAGTTCGTTAGTGTGATCTAATCTACGTTTACGGCAGCGAGCGGCGGCCATCTTGTTCCTCTCTCTCCTGATCTTCCTGCGTTCTTCTTCTTCGGGTGAAAGGTCAGTCGGTGCCTTTGTAGGTCTTCGGCCGCCCATGTTCCGCCTCTTGGGAGTTGGCAGGCCAGGGCTGCTGCTGCTGTCGCCGCTGGCGGAGAGTGGGCCCGGCGACACGTGCAGCGCCGTCGTCGGGCCCGAATCGCAGTACCCCACCGAATTCAGGATGCCTGGAATTGTAAAATATGAACTCGTTAATATTGATATTCTATATGTTTGTGCCAATCTTTTGAACCACTTTTGGTGGCCATTGCCAACTTTTTAACTTTCAAAGAAAGCTTGTGGTAAGATAATATGGTACATACCGTAGTTGTTGGCGTGCGTGACTGAAGGCGGTACAAAGCCCGCGTGAGTGGTGGGCTCGCTGCGGCAGTTGGTCAACTCGATGTAGGTCTGCTCGAAGTTGCGCAGCTGGGTGGGCGTGATGGTCGCCGTGGTGCGGGTTGGGACCCCCGACTGGAGGCCCTCTAGGTTTGCCAACTGGAAACAACAGAAAGAAACTATGAGTTGCGAGTTGTAAAAAATTCTTCCGACATTCCTAGATGCGTAATTTCTACTTTGTGTAATGTTCCGAACAGCTGATGTAGAAAATTTAGGCCAACTGAGTCATAGTTTGTATATCATACACCCCACATACATTCACAAACTTTTACTATTTCCAAAGATAATTTATTTAATAAATAATTACGTCTATAATTATAGGTAGATAGTGTACCTACTTATAAATACAATTTGTTCAAGAGAGAGAATCAATTAATAATAAGCGATATTTTGAAATTAATTAAAATAGCATAATTTAAAATAGATCTGAATGTCAACCTGATAAAACTTGTTTTCAAATTCGAGAACGATCAAAGTTATATTGTAAAGTAGGCAGAAGCTTAATGCTCATTCGTCATCAAAACATGAACCCGACCGAATCATTCGTAGAACCTTTACTATAATATAACAATTAAAATAACTGATAATATCTGTAACATTGCAATATAATTCATTGCAAAATTGATATATTTGTTATGCAATATTTATTGTTATGATCGAATACTGCTTGCTTCCACATTCCGATCACAATTTATCAGCGAAATATTTTCACAACATGTGTACGATCAACAACATAAACAAAATAACAATTTTATTTACATATTCAAATTGTTAATTAAAACATTCTTCCGTAAATGTAAATAATTTAATGGTGTTTTTAAAGGCTCTCTTTATTCCATAATTTTGTTTACCTCTAGAGTGAGTGTAAGTTCAGTGAGTAGGTACGCTAATAGCGTGTCCGCTGAAAGCCGACCAATAAATCTGTCACCTAAAAACTGATGTTCTAGTAACAAACGTACTGCTCTCGTTACTTGCACTGCAAATTACTTGTGATAACGATTTATTAACGTAAATTAGTGTTGTTCTAGTTTTGGTACATTATACCAAGCTGTTAATGAATCGAATGCGGAAAGACACCTTTACTCTACAGTCGTGTCACTTTGAAATGGAGCAACAGCCAGATGCCTTAATAACCAAGAGGAATCTTAACTCTCTGGGTGTGGGTCTAGCCTAGCATAGAACATAGCCACAATATGGCGGTAAGAGATATACCTGCTGGCACCACAGCTCCGTGGCGAGGATGTTGGCGATCTCCAGAGGATCAATGTTCTGCATGTTGCGGTGCTAACTCAACCACGTTTATAATTAGACGCTTACTCTATTGTGTTGCGCTTTTTGCGACGCGACACCTTCGTGCGGTTCGAGTTTGTTAGTCGATTTGTTCGTTATAATCCGCCCTCGCAAAAGTGCAGTAGGTATTAACTACGTGAGGTCGATCCGTCTGTGCACCGGTGAGTTTTGAGATCGCGGGACTTTCTTATAGGGGTCGGTGTTAACGCGTGTATAGGGGCGGATCGTAGGTCGTATGTCGCGAAGTATCGCGTGGAGTATCGTGTGCGCGGGAGTGCGGGTCGTTCGTTCGTTGCGCGCGCGTACGGCGGCCGGCCGCGGCGGATCGCGCGCTACTGAACGCCGCGCCCGCGCTCGCCCGAAATCTTCGCCCACGAGCGACGTCGAATCATTTATTAATAGAATACTCCTCTAACTCCGGAAATATTTCGCATCATTTCGCATCGCACGCGGCGATGGTTACTTTATCTGAGGTAACGCTTCGTACTCAAAACAAAGCCTCTGCACTCGTACAGTCACCGGCTTCCAAACGGAGCTTAGAATGTGTATTCAGACACTTTAATTTTGCTTCTTAACTCGTCGAGTACCGGTTTTATAGACACAATTAAAGAACAATAGGTCGCGGTCACCGGTGACCGCTTGGTGTTTGACAGATTAAGAGGTCTGATCACATTTTGGTGGACAGTTAGGCTACGATTTTCGAGCTTTATATAGTGGTATCGATTAACTATTGTAAATTTATGATGGCAGCGGTGACGCCATTGGTGGGCGGGAGGCTCGGTCAGACCTTGCCGCAAGGACGCGTTGGACCCGTGGGCGCGTTCATTATGGCCATAGACGAGCGTCAATACTACCTAAAAGGAGCTTCGTAAAAGTGCAGAAATCATTTTTGAACATATCGAGTCAGTATACAATCCAATATAGTCATTAGTGGTTTGTTAAAATTCCGAACGAGCTTTGCTAAGATTATATTAAAACTATAGAAACATAAATCATTTTATGAGATAGTGCGACACTGCCGACCTCGTGCATCAGTGCAGGAGACAAAAGCAGGCGGCAGTTGCTCCGGAAGGCGCTCTGCCCGGTCAATTACTACAATTGCTTAAATGAAATTCGTCTCAAATGCGCGCGCGCATTGTATAGCTAACATGAACGTTAATTGGTCACGGTGCTTTACCTAACAATTAACCGCCGCTTTATTATCACATTCTTGCTTGTTAGTCTTGGTAATCTCGTTTTTGGGTATCTGTATCCTTGTTCGCATTTCACTTGACTTTCGTTTATTCGAGAAGTTTCGACTGTACCGTTTTGTAAATCATGTAATGACAAAGGATTTTGCAAGCGTGTCACGTTATTTTCTTTGTGTTCGGACCTCTCATTTAATATTACTGTCACAGTGTATAAAGAAATTGTTACCTTGACCTATAGACCGAGTGCGTCATTCCTATGTGTATTGTACGCTAGGCCTTATTCAAATTTTCTTGGAAGCACTGAACCATTCCCGATGCGGAGCCCTTGAGGGTTCTCAGAGAGCGTAGTACGCGGTGTTATCGCTGCTAGCACGCCAATGAGATCACCGCTATATCTAGTTGTGACGTATGAACGTACAGCTCTCCTCTAATGTTTTGTTCTGTTACACTTTAGCCATTTATTTGTGCCACAATTTTTTGTTTACGTCATGAAATTAATATGAAGTTTCAACACAAAGATCGGACATCTTTCCTTGCAAACTTTCTGAGAAATCGTAAGTGACCAATGAATTAATGTAATGAAAATGCCTAAGGTCAAGTAAACATTTTATCGTGTATAATTTGCACAATGTTTTTCGAGTAGGTGTTATGTTGACATCGTCTGCTTGGTTGCGAAATATGGATTTTCTTTTGTCCTGCAAAACTGGGTGAGGTTAGTACGCTCAGTTGATAACGCGAACCGTTATCCGCACGTGTGCCCTCCCACATAATGCAATATATCTAATCATGTGTGCAATGTCCACATGCATTCGAGTTTCACGGAAGACTGTCTTCAGTCACTTAAATAATGGAAATATTATTCGTTGGTTGATTAGATTATTAGAACTACGGACTTATCTGGAAACGTTTTTCGTAGTAGACGATATCTTGTCCCCAGTGACATCGTTTTAAATCGGTAATGCGTATCGTTTTCCTCAGATATCTTAACAGATATAGGCAGATACCTAATAGTTATCGCGGTAATCATTGGCAAGTGTTTCAAGAAAGTGAATTTTGTTTATATTTTCCTCAATTGAAAGTGTAACTAGTTGGGTCTCATAACATAAATAGTGAAAAGTGGGTAGTTGTCGCAATGTTTCCGGAATTGAGTCGTCAGAGTTTTATTTAGCTCTGTATCAGAGTCGATGTTTTCGCCGGCCATCCAGGAATGATGGCCGATACCACATCTGCATACTGTTTCACATTTTATTGCGCAAAACAAATAAAAACATAATCCGGTAAACAATAAAACGAATATTGATTGGAAAAAGAACGGTTTGTAGTTGAAAAAATAGTATTTAGTCGATCTTTCATTTTGTATCAGTTTCTTTTTCATATCTTATGTCCATTACTAAGAAAAAAGTTCATAAAGTCCACAATATCATCCCGCCAGGCCGTCAACAGTAGGAAATTTTATCTAATTTATTTGTCAGTATTTCAAATAAACAATAATAACCAGGATGTTCGACTACAGGGAAAAGAACCATGTAGAATTTACAGATAATAATAACATAATAATAAAAACAAATAGACATTTCTATGGGAATGAAAAATTGATTTCCAAGTCAAAACAGAAATAGAGGACACTTTGGAGAAATAAGACGCACAAAACTGCCGACATATTTGACAATAACAAACTTTAAAAGGTGTATGACCCCTTAGAATAGTGCGAAATTAGTATTCGTAAACCAATCGTGTCATACATAAACGGCACCGCGGTGTTTTATAGATGTGTATTGTTGTTTATGTAGCATCAGGGTGGCCTTATATAAGACAGATATTCTCCAAAGATAATATTGTTCGAACTCGTGATTGTTTTATAGATATACATCATAAGGCACATGAATTGAATTGAGAGGATGGTAATATTTAAAATAAAGTACAATTGGTGAGCTGCTTGACAATCTATTTAAATTGGGTAGTAATAGTAAACTTATTATGTTAAACAAATTGAAACTATTAATACTATCGATCGAAATCTTTGGTCCAGTTAGAAATGGGGTTAAAATTATTCAATAGGTTAAAAACCTGAGTTACCCTAAAACCTATGCCTATTAGCTGATACGTGTTAATCCTACGAGGCTCAGGATCGGTATGCGTGGCGCGTACATGGAACATGCGCAAGCGCACGTGGCGGCCGCGTGATGCGACAGGTGAGGCACGCCCACCGCACACAATATTTGGTCACCTTTGTAATGAGGTTACAGCTGTACTTAGGTCTTAGGATAGGAGAACTGTGTTTTAGAAATCATTAGAAATACTATTTATATTTTTTTTACTAAAGGCGAGCTAGAGCAAAAAATGACACATTCAAGCACTTATATGATATCCAGATTCCTTCACTAGCATTTTGTAGGTGGTATGTAGTAACCTACATAATAATTACGTAGGAAATTCCTAGCACGACGTAATAATTCCTGAGCTGTTCGAAAAGTGACCTCAATGCTATGGAGATACGGGGCTTATTGACATCCCTAATCACGGGCGCCATAAAGCACTCTGAAGCGATTACCCCATCAACTTTAAATGCCCCACTACCCGTTAAGACGTGTTCTATAGTAGGCTCTTCGTATCTTGTCG